CCCCATCCCAAAGGAATGTCAGTGGAATTTCAGCATATACAAATAAATAATAATAGTTTGTCTTTATTATCTGAACATAAAACACAGTCTGAATACAATTAAAATACAATGAATAAGATGTCTGCTATATGTTAGTCATACCAACAAGAACAAAAATAGAAGCTATCAAGGCTGTTTTTTTGCGGTATAATTTTCTTTGTTCTCTGTAAAAAAAAAAAATAATAATCTGCCAGAGGTTTTTCTGATCATAAGAGTGATTCTAGTAGAAATATGTGTGCCTATATGTTTAAATGGAAGATTAGTGCTCTTCATCAGAGATCAGCCTTGATGTGGTGCTTAGGAGGGACCACCTCAGCAAAAAGAGAACTAAAGAGGATAGGCTACTTTGGCTGCAGAGTGAAACAAATAAAAACTTTACAGTCATATTTTTTTAGATATCACATACAAGTTACAAGTAGAAGGTATTTGCTTTTTGTGGATACATCAGCCCTTAAACCGCAAGGTCTACTGACTTCTTATTTAGTCAGTATGTGAAAGTCCCTTGGCATCCACTGGCGTTTTGTCCAGGGCCTTTCCCACAATACCAAAATCTAAGGATGCTGAAATCCCATTATATACAATTGCATAGCAAAATGATGCCCCTTATATAAAGCCATAAAAGCAAGCCTTGCTTTTTTTTGGGGGAGGGGGGATATTTTCAAGCCATTGATGGTAAAATCCATGGATACAGAGGGTTGACTCTGTTAAACTGAAGTAACAGTCAATTGACTTGAACCAAACAAAATAAGAAAGAACCTGTAGTGTGGGGAAAATTGGAACACCATATGCAAATGCTGCCATGAGAAAGGTCCACCCTATCTTAGCCCATCCCGCCTATTGTGGGAATGTGTGGTATGGTCTTCACGAGAGGTAGTGTCTTTATGTTGACTAGCTCCTTTGAGAAGATTCCCATCAGAGGTCATCTGCTCTCACATTCAGTGTCAAATATCTCAACAACAACAATAAAAATATCATTTTTCTGTTGTGAGACAATATGTTATGCTCAGTCAAAAATAAAGGAAAACCTATTTTGCTTGAAACATCAGTGGGATTTTTTCTGGTGTGCTCCAGTTCCTTTTGACTTTTCTCTACTTTGTTTGCCAGTGCTGTGTCGATGAAATTTTTTTGAGTGGTTAACTTTTATCCATTCGCCTTCGCTGACTTTGCTTCCTTCTTCCTCTGTTTTGGGCTTACTTTCAGTCTTCAAGGGCATTCCTGGTATCAACTTGGGCTGGTGATAATGAGAGTGCTTCCTATCATGTGACCGTGACTGATGTTGGTTTTGGCTGAGGACTGACTGTGAAGTCCTGTAAAATTTCTCCGTGTTCCTAGCTGTTGCCTGAGTTCCTGTTGAGCCCCTACCGAAACGGCGTCCTGTTACAGACATGCTGGGAGAGACACTGCTGTGATAGCTGTTCCTACTTTTTGTTTTGGATGTGTCTATTTCTGAAGGGCTATCGGAAGCTGCACTGGAGGTGCTGCTTCCCTTGGAATTCAGATGTAAAGATGATAAATACGGTGTTGGAGAGGTGTTTCTCGACTGAGTTAGAGAGGTAACCTGATAGGTCACAGGAACCTGGATTCGTCTCACAGCAGCAGCATAAGAGCCTTGGTCCTGAAGGTAGGGTAAAAACTGTGTTGGGTTGGGACTGTGGGGGCGGGAATGTTGGAGAGCAGGACTGCTGGAAACATGACGCATTTTCAGTGCCTTCATCCACTGACAGTCAATACCTGAAACAAAATCAAAGGCAGCATCAGTATGGATGTGAGGGCTGGACAGTGAAGAAAGTGGATACAAAGAAAGTCAACTCTTTTGAACTGTGGTAATGCAGAAGAGAGTTGAGGATGCTGTGGATAGCCAAAAAGACAAACAAATGGGTCCTTGAGCAGATCAAGCCTGAACTCTCCCCAGAAGTCAAGATGATCAAATTTAGACTGCTGTACTTTGGCCACATCACAAGAAGGCATGATTCATAAGGCAAGACAATAATGCTAGGAAAAGTAGAAGACAGTAGAAAGAGAGGAAGACAGCAGGCAGGATGGATAGACCCAATCAGGAAGGTTATAGGCCCAAATCTACAAGACAAAGCATAGCAGTGGAGGACAAGAGGTTTGGAGATGTTTCATTCAATGTGTTGCCATAAACTGAGGTCAACTTCAAGGCATCTAACAGCAATCAGTTTTGAATTCCATATCATGTCCAGCCTTTGGAGGAAACACCAGCTGTCAGGGTTACAAGTGACATAAAATACTCTGCAACTGTTGGAGCTACCAATTTCTTTGTGCAGTAGAAGTAGCAGCAGCAGCACCAAGTGTAGGGGTGTGTATGGGGTTTTTTTTAACCATTTTCTTTCCAACTACAGTTGTGGAATACTACAAATCAATGCATGAAGTCCCCTTAGAGTCCTCCACTTCTTTAGCTGAGGTCTGGATTTGACATTCCAAAAGCTGGGCTCTCTTGTTTAAAGATTCCACTAGCGGCTATTCTAACAGCAGTTGTTGTTTTATTCTAGAGATGCAATTCTTTGCTGAGTTTCTTCTCAAAGGTAACAAGAAGTAATTTCAGCAATTTTCTTCCTTCTGCAAGAAAATCTTCTAAAACCATGCAGTTTCCAAAGGCTTTTTGCAATTTTCTGCACAAAATTCAAATGAGGACATTTTGCACACAAAACAGCATTTTTTCTGCACAGGAAATATCATTTTCTGCATGGCAAATAATACCTCAATAAAGAAATATTAATTCCTGCACAGAAAATGTGGATTTCTAGGCAAATCAACCATGTGTGAATTTTATGTAGAAGAAATCCCTAAATACAGTATTTTCTGCACAGGAAGTGATATTTCTGCATTAAAATATTATTTTCCACATAGAAAACACTGATTCCTGTGCAGAAAATGCTATTTTCTGCAGAAAACAACCACGTGCAAATTTGGCACAGAATGAGTCCTGAACTGTGAAGTCCTCTTATCATCAGGCTTTCTCAACATTTCAAAAAACATGTTTTTCAAATATTTTCCAAACATTTTCAAATATTCTTTCCATCCTCAGTTTATACATTCTTTCAACTAGGGAAATTCTGTATACAGGTTAGAATCTATATCCACATACCTAAATAATACACAGTTTAGACATTTTAAAGAGGATGGAAAACTATTATTTTTATTATACAATCCCTATTGGGATAGTAAACAGTGAGGATTATGGGACCTGTAGTGCAAAGTAATTTGGAGGGCCACAACTGCTCACCTCTGCTTTAAAGAAATGCCTCCAGACTTTGGCCCAAAACACACTGCAGAAATAATCTAGTTTGAGACTGCTTTAACTGCCCTGGCTCAATGCTAGGGAATGCTGGGAACTGTAGTTTTGTGAGACATTTAGGGCCTTTACAGACTGCCAGAAATAGTGCAACTTGAGGCCACTTTAACTGTCTTGGCTCAGTGCTAGGGAATCATGGGAACTGTATTTTTTTCTGGGACACTGAGCCTTCTCTGTCAGAAGCTCTGGTGCCACAATAAACTAAAGTTCCAGGATTCCTTAGCACTGAGCCAGGGCAGTTAAAGCAGTCTCAAACTAGATTATTTCTGCAGTGTATTTTGGACCTTTGGTAAATTAATGTGATAACTGTAGAGGAGTATATAGATTTTCTGCATCTGTTGTTGCCGCTGTTGCTATTTCTTGTTGCTTTTCTTGTTCATGGTAGTGTACCCCTGTTGCTTTTCTTGTTCATGGTTGTGTCATTTCTCAAACTTTTGCCCCCGTTGACTTACTAGAGTTGGATCTGCTCCGAGGGTTGCCTTCTGAGTTTGGGAGTGACGTCTGTATTTTAAGTTGTATCGATTTCACCTCATCCTGAGGTTTCACTTGACTCCATTGCACTGGCTGAACATGTTTGGTGACCTTTGGAGTTCTGACATCATTCTGTTCAAGCAAAATAAACAAGCTATCATTCTGGAAGGAAAATGAAAATCCCACAACAGCGGGGCAATCTCTGGCCAAGACATTTCATGTATGATTGTGAAACTGATGGTACTTCAACTTCACATGCTGGTTTGTCTGATGCCGCCTTCCAAACTGATCTCAAAAGTGTGCAACCAATCTGATGGCAAATTTCACTTTCTTCCTTCTCTCCATCCCTCCCCCTCTCCCAACAAACAGTGGAATGAACAAGGGTGATATTTTAATGGTTGGCTTTTAACGGGATCATTTGGTAATTGTGAGATCATGTGGTGTTTCACGTAAATAATCTCTTCGAGGAGAGGAGGTTGGCACTAAGGAGACATTGTTGCTGGGGTTCCCTTGTGGTAGCTTGCCTACAGTTGCTACCTCTTTAATCCTGCAGTCAGGCTCTGATTCCTGTGAGGAGCTGTAGTCTGAAAGGAACCTAGGGTTATTCTTCCTGTTAACAGAAAGCTACTGTTCTTCACTTCTGAGGCAAGTGAGGTCCAGGATTTTCCTATATAATCTCTCGCTGCATGAATCCATGCCACAGGACAGAGCTGAAATTTCAATTATTAGCCACAGTGTGAAATATCCCATTGGTCTTTATGAAACACTTTTTTTGTAAGTGTCCAAAAACCTACTCATACAAAGGCTAATTTCCATCCTATTATACACAGCTAAATTGCTTCTAGATTTTATTTTATGTTTTCCTTCTTGCCCTTTCCCTTCTCCTGTTGTTCCTCTGCTCTGCTAATTAGCGTTTTGCCAAGAAGGTAAGAAAGGTGGTCTCTTCAACAAACACCACCTACACCGTCTTGTAACTCAAAGAAGTTGGCAGGGCACTTCTTAAACTTAAGTGAACAAGCGCTCTCAGCTAGAGGTCCGGGAATGGTGTCTGAGGACAGCATTCGGAATTGTATGCAAAGCTGGTAGTTTAACATTAATTATAGCATTTGGCCTTCTCTATAGTGGCTAAAAAAGTTTTTAAATGCACACATCTCATTATGAAACCATATTGGGAGCCAATGTGGCCTAGTGGTTTCAGTGTTGGACTGTGACCCTAGAGACCAGGGTTTGATTCCCCGCTTGGCCATGAACCCATTGGGTGATCTTTGGCAACTCATGATCTCTCAGCCTCAGGGGAAGGCAATGGCAAACCTCCTCTGAATAAATCTTGCCAAGAAAACCCCATGATTGGGTTGCCTTAGAGTCTCCATAAGTTGGATATGACTTGAAGGTAAACAACAACAACAACAACATTGTAAAAGGGCTAAGTTGCCCTTCCTTTAAAAACAAACAAACACCAAAACACACTCTTACCTCATAAGTAACTATACATTCCATGGTCTGGTCTTTCTGTATTCCCACAACCCATTTCTCCATCACAAATGGCGGCTGGGGGGGGGGGAAGAAGCAAAGTTTGTCTTTGTTAATGTAATTCATCTTTCTATGGTACCAATTACGTGACAACCTCTACTTTTTCACCTTGTTTCCTTCAAAAACAAATATACAAAACATACAAACTTCTGAAGGAAGGATAATTAGATAATATTAGCCTTTGACCATTATGGTGCTGTGGTCCACCCATTATAATATTATTTACTTCTGATCATTCTTCAAAGCCAGACTCTGGAATTCTGCCCCAAAGTCCTGCCCTGAGAGTACCACTGAAATGGATAATTATGGGGCATAAGCAAGTGCTTATTGGAATACCTCTTATTTCAGACACCCAGTGAAACAAGTGGTTAGATGGTGACTATAAGGGCAACGTAAGGTAGATGTATCCTGAAGGAAAAGTACTGTCAACTGGGGAAATGTTGGGAGTTGCAGACTTAATAGACTTTTGGGAATCTCAAGGAAAAACAAGATAAGCATTTGCAGGGCATCCTGAACTCACAACCTTGAGAAAGTGGTACTGTTTAACAATGATAATCTGAAATGTAAGGTTTGACATCAGCAATTTTCACCTGTCATGTCATGACAGCATCATATCATGAGTGGTTATATGTTGTTATATACTGTGGCTAGGAAGAATTTCAAAACTGCTATAAACAGTATGTTTGCTTGTGTGGCCAGTAGCTCAGTCTACCTAGAGGCTGTGCCATTAAACAAACTGCTGTCTCCAATCTATTACAGACCCCATTCTTAAACTCTGGATGGGAATTTCCCCCAGCATTGGTCCCAGCTTCCAGTCACAATCAGCTGAGTTGTTGTTTTTTTAATCTACTTTTTCTGGCTAAATTCAAATTCAAAAGGTGGCCTACCTTGCTTAATAGTAGAACTTCCTGTCCATATATTCCCCTTACCATGTGAGGATTGTTGGCAGTTGCAGTACAATTACCCCACAAGGGCCATTAAATTCCCACTCGTGTTGTAAAACTACAAAAGTAACATATAGGTTGAGTCTTCCTTATCTAAAATGCTTGGGACCAGAAGTGTTTTGGATTTTTTTGGGGAGAGAGAGAATTTTGAAAGATTTACATATACATAATGAGATGTTTTCTTTTTTAATTAAATTTTTATTATAGATGTCAAATTACCATACAATCAACAAATCAATAAATCAGTCATTAAAACATACCATCTTACACTCGTATACATTCTTTTTCCACCATATACATCTTTTACCCCCCCCTCGCTTTCCTTCCTTTCCCCTTCTTCCATCTTCTTCCATTTCATTCCCTCTCTCCTTCTGCTTCTCCCTCTCCTCCCATAATGAGATATTTTCAAGATGGGACCCAAGTCTCAATACATTTATGTTTCATATACACCTTGCATATGTAATTTGATGGTAAATTTTTTTACATACATTTTAATTTTGTGCATGAAACAAAGTTTGTGTACACTGAACCATCAGAAAGCAAAGGTTTCACTATCTCAGCCACCTATATAGACAGTTTTGGATTCTGGAAGGTTTCACTATCTCAGCCACCTATATAGACAGTTTTGGATTCTGGAATAGTTTAGATTTTGGAATTCCAGGTGACTCAACCTGTACAGTAAACGTATTCTCCTACAGTGTAGAAAATCAGTTGTAGTTACCACCTGCCTGCCCCAACTGGGGCTTTCCACCGACAGATTTGAGTATCTGCCGATGGCAAGCCCCGTTGGCCCTAATAGTGGCATGTGTATGTTGGCTGTAGCAGTGCAGGACTTAAGTCCTACAGTTTTTCGCATCTGCAAGGTGTGTGTGTGTGTTCCAGAACAAACCCCCTGTGGATATTAACCGCTGATTGTATTGTTTTGGCTTATAAGGATAGCTGACTGACATTGTAACCATGGCAAGCTTCCATGACAGAATCTGGATCTTATGTAAAATGGAAATGGGCCAGACATCAGAAATAATGGCAACTATAGACCATGTTCATGACATGTTCTTACTACAAGCCTATTTTTGTTATACACATCCATTTTAGTGATATGAATTGCTGTTAAAGGTCAACACTTTATTTCTGAAATCTTAAAATGTGAACATTCTTCATGATTTAGAGCAGGGGTAGGCAACCTACGGCCCATGGGCCGCACCCAGCCCGCCGACACCTGTCGACCGGCCCCCGCCAACCCCTGCTGCCACCGCCACCAACCACCGCCGACCATCACGTGCGTTGTGGCTGCCATTTTGTTTGCCAAAATGGTGGCCGCAACTTGTTTGTGCAAGCACAGTACTCCTGCATGTGCGCAAACAAGTCATGGCCGCCATTTTGGCAA